CATTTTTTGCCCAGCATCGCTACAGTGATTATGGACAGGTGTGTATTGCGGTGAGTGAGTTGGTGAAGGCCTACAAGGCTTTGAATATTTTGACAGGAATAGTGTATCTTTGGACGAGATTAAAAATTTCATGAGCCGTTTTCCCGAGGCACGCAAGCAGTCTGTGCAGGTGACACGACACTGTGGAATTGCAAGTCAATTGGTAACAGAAGTAAATGGACGTAATTTGACGCATTTGTCCGTCTTGGAGCAGGAAATGCTCGCCTCCAGCAATGTGACGGAACACTCTAGGCAGATGATGGATGTTGTGCAGGATCCAAAGACGGACATTGACGACGCCCTGCGCATGGTTATGCTCTACGCATTGCGCTACGAAAAGGTCGGTGGGAATAATACTGCACAATTGAAGGAAATGCTACTGAAACGAAACTGCCCGATGGAAAGAATATCACTTATTGATCGCTTGTTGGAGTACGGCGGTGCAGATAAACGGCTGCACGAACTGTTTCGTACGTCCACGGGGCACATTCTGAAGATTGTTGCCAAGACGGTGGGCCAATTTGGAAAAGACATTCAAAACGTCTTGACACAGCACGTTCCTCTCATGAAGAAAGTTATCAATAGGGTCTACAATGGCACACTGTCGGAGCAAAAGTACCCGGTGCAGGAGGTGGTGGGATCCCCCATTTCAGTTTCCGCAGTGCCCACTATTCGTGCGAAGGATATTATCATTGTGATGGTGGGCGGTGTCACATACTCAGAGGCGATGCTTCTGTACCAAATTAATCAAGGCCAAGTATCCAACAACGTGGAGTCGTTGATGAATTTGGGGAAAAATGTGACACGTCTTGTGAGCGGGGATTCGACTGCTAAAAGTGCGTCGGGTGAGCCATACACGGAGAAGATTGAGGCACGTGTCACGCTGCTCTCTACCAGCATGATTGATTCCAAGGATTTTATCCACTCATTGCCGTCATAAGCTTCAATGACATGCGCGGGAGGGGGTCTCCTCATATTTGGAGGGACACGAAATGCACTTTTTCTTTTTTTTAAGTAGTTGGTTGCCCCTTACTGTTTCTCTGCGTGCTTGTTGGAGGTGTGTGAACCCCGTTTGTCCCTCCCTTTTCTGTTTTATTTTTTTCATTTCCTTTGGAGTTGTGGGGTTTATCTGTGGAGAAAATGGGCGAGCAACGGGGTGGGAGCGGGGGCCATTGAGGAAGAAGGACGGGTGAAAGTGTTCCTGGGAGTGGCTGCTCATTCCGTTTTTTACGACTCACGGGCAGATGAGTGAAAGTGGGATAGAGCGGCGGTGATGGTGGTTGGGAAATGAACTGAACGAGCACGCGGCTTTTTTCAATGAAATTTTTTTGTCTTTCTTTCTCTCCTTTCCTCTATGGGTTTATTTTCCTTATGTAATTGCTTGATTTTTTTTTTTCTCCTTTTTTCTGTCTTTTTCCACACAAAATGACCAGGTGTGTGTGTGTGTGTGTGTGTGCTGAGAGGCTTTTTTTGGCTTTTTGTGTTGCTTTTTCCCCTTCCCTGCCTAGAAGCTGCCGCCCCTCTCTTCTCTGTTCGCATGTCGGCAGCGTTTCCGACCGGAGTACCGAACCTCTTCACCACCCCGTTGGCGGCGTTTCCGGCCAGAAACTTATTTCACTCTACCGAGCGACCGGTGGAGAGCGGCAACGCTTTCACGCAGGAGGATAGACTTATGCTGCAGTTATTGTACCAGCAGCAACAGGCTATACAGATTCAGCTCCAGTCTATGGCGTTGTCAATGCAGCAACTTCATTTGACGCTAGCCGGACTGTCCAAAGTGCCCGCGGCAATGGGGGCCTATGGTAGTACCGTTAATGACACAGCCCCGTCGTCAAATCCCCCAAACTTTGTTCCAATGGCGGCGCAGTCATCTTTTAATGATACTGCGGATAAAACGAAGGCGTCATCACGGGAAGCTGTAAAAGGTCAAAGGGTGAGCGGTGAAGCTGCAGAAATCCAATCGATACATGCGTCACGCGCGAAGGAGGCCTCGCGTTCGTGCACGCCTCCACAAGAAGATTTAGATGTCTCACGCCCTAGTGCAGTGAACCGATCCACGGAGTCTGCGGCTCCGTGGGACCCGTCAGCCGGATCGCGCCATAGCAGTGCTCTTCGCATGACTCGTGCAGAGAACCCACTTTTGTCTTCCCTGCGAGGCAAGCTACCTACTCCAAATCATTCCGCTGCTGGGTCTGTTTCTGTAGGAACGGGGTATAGTGCGAGTGCGAACGTCAGTGCATCTCTAGAGGAATCAAAACCTTCGGTTCGTCCCACCATTCATCCCACCTCTTCTTCTTCCCTCCATGCTGATCCTGACAACAGGAATGTGTCAGCATCTAGGCGCACCCTGTTGGCGAAACGCCAACAGCAGCAGCGTGTAGTTCTGGACAACCGTAAGGTGGAGCCACCGCGAAGATCGCATTCTGGTGCCGAGACCACAACGACAGGGAATAAACGGAAAGAGACATTTCACGATACGAAGGGCAGTAACTCTGCCAGTGATAAGAAAAATCGTCGGGTGAAGGAGGAGTATGGTGATACAAGCGCTTCTGCTGCGGGTTATGACTCACAGAGCGAAGGCTACGGGAGCTATGAGACGAGGCAGTACCTAAAAAGTGTGGGCATCATTTGATGCTTCACGTGATAGAAACAAAAGAGGAAGAAAAGAAAAAAAAAAGAGCGCAACAACCGGAAGGGGGCGATTGAGGCTGAGGGTGATGTTGTAAGAGGGCCCTTAATAAGATGTGTGCTTTTTAGCGTCGTGGTTGTACTTTTTAGTTGTTGAACAAAAATAAAAATTGCAAAGAGGAGAGGAGAGGGGGGAAGAAAAAGAAGAAGAAAAAACAAAACAAAACAAAACAAAATCAAACAAACAAAAGACGACAAAATAAAATCGAACAAAGGAATGTATTTGTATGATTTGTGTGGCATTTGTTTTATCCTCATTTTATGTGTGTACGTTTATTGCCCTGCTGTGGCTTTGGCTGCATTTTGTACTCTCAGTTTTATTCCTCCCCCTCCTCCTGGGCCATGGCCTTTTTTTGGATTTATGGTATTGGGTATATTTGGAG